AGCAAAGTTTAGGAATGCTAGGATTCCTCACCCCATCACTCTAAAGGCTGATCTCGGTATTTGCATGAGCGACCTCCAAGGAATATCAGACTCAAAGGCAGGCAATGGCAAACCACCTCTGAAACGTCTCTTGCCTTAGGAAAAAAAGCAGGTCTAGCTCGCCACCTAGTGGTGCGTAATGCTAAAAGCGCTAGAACTTATGGCTGCCAGACAATCTTAGCTTCTCCTGGCTCTACTACACACACTGCCATGCGATAATTCATTAATTACGAGGGATCAAGCTTCACTGGCAGCTTTCTGGTCCAGACTTCTATAAATCAGCTGTGTGGTCCACACACCCTGGACATTCGTCAGGCATTATTGGATGGACTGGGATTCCAGGTCGAAGCTGCAGTGGGGAAGGTGGCGTTCGAAGCGATCTTTAGCTGATTAGCCCATACCTGCCTCCTCGGTAAGTGAGCTTCCTACTTAAAGGAGGGGCCGTGGCTCAGTGGCAGAGCCTCTGCTTGGCATGCAGAAGGTCCCAGGTTCAGTCCCCAGCATCTCCAGTTAAAAGGATCAAGCAGGGGACGATGTGAAAGACAAGACCCTGGAGAGTGTCTGCTAGTCTGCATAAACAAGACTGCCTTCTATTTGTCTGTCTGTCTGTCTATCTATCTATCTAGTACTGCTCATACGGCTATCAACTTAAGCAGAAATTAGTAAAGGTAAAGGTTTCCCTCGCTCGAAAGCCAGTCAAATCCGACTCTAGGGGGCGGTGCACATCTCCGTTTCCAAGCCGAGGAGCCAGCGCTGTCTGAAGACATTTCTGTGGTCATGTGGCCGGCATGACTAGACACCGAGGCGCATGGAACGCTGTTACCTTCCCACCGAAGCAGTACCTATTTATCTACTTGCAATGTCTTGCTTTCGAACTGCTAGGTTGGCAGGAGCTGGGACCAGAGACGGGAGCTGACTCCGTCACGCGGCACACTCGGGTCTCGAACTGCTGAACTACCGACCTTCCAGCCTGCAATCCAGCATCTTAACCACTTGAGCCACCGCAACTCCTTATAAGCAGACATTAGGACCCCCCAAAATATTTAAAAACATTTTACTTAGTATTATATCTCTTAATATATTTGATTATTGCGCCTATGCATTTTTGCGGCTGAGAGGGTGACACGATCATTTGTATCCAACAGTAGCCATGACACCTGGGCTCGCAGATTTAACAATTCCATATCTTTAAGTCAAGGCGTGAATAAACAAGCCCTCAACTCGTTGAATGTAGGGCACTCCATAATCGTATGCAGGGCTTTTTTGGTAGAAAAAGCCCAGCAGGAACTCATTAGCATATTAGGCCACACCCTGACAGCACAGCTCATTCGCATATTAGGTCACACCCCCATGTTACCAGAAGCGTGGTCATCCAGCCACACCTACCTTTTGCTTGTTATTCTGTTTACCTTGTTTGTTGTCAAAACCCAGGGCTTTTT